AACAAATACAAGTTTAAACCAACGTTGTGATAAAGCGTTAAAGCATTTAACAGAATCAATACATGTCTGAACCTGTGTGCTACAGACATCTGCACCTCCATCGAGCAAATGACAGGACTCTTTAAGGGAGGAGAGCAACAGATTGAAAGGGGAGCAGCCAGTGAAACTCTACTTTACAGGGAGCTGAAGACTGTCGGTTAGACAGGGCTCACGTTTCGACAGTATACAGATGATCAATGGTCACAGGAAGTCGTTCTGTTCACCTGTGTTGAGCACCTTCTTGATGACCACGGCCACCTGGCCCTTCAGCATGGAGTTCAGCAGCTTGACGATGAGGATGAGGCAGGAGCAGAGGACGAAGAGAGAGAGAGCCAATAGGATGAGACCCACCGCCAAGTCAGGGAGGGTCACGTAGGCAAAGATGTGTTTACCTGAGGGAGAGGGGGGGGGCATTAAAGGGTTAACTAAGCTGTGCACGATGCGAGACTCTGTTGAAGATAAACCGCTGCTGGAAACATCTTCATTGTGATTTGAGAAGAGCAACGAAACCCTTCAGTTCTTCTTCTGTGCGTCAGCAAACATCTACAAGTGTCTGATACTGTCAGACGGTGCTTTTGTCGGACCCCTTGAAAACCAGACGTGCATCTCAAGGGCTTTGCCCGAAAGAATACATCTCACACACCACACACACACACACACACACACACACACACACACACACACACACACACACACACACACACACACACACACACACACACACACCACACACACACACACACACACACACACACACACACACACACACACACATTAGCTTACATTACATTTACCTTGCTTGAAAGCGCTTTGAGAACCAGGAAAAGCGCTTTATAAATGTAATGTATTATTATTATTGTTATTATTGTTATTATTGTTAGGGATTAATGTTGTCTTTAATTGAGACATTTAACCTTATTTTGTGTGTTGACATGAACGCCCATCCCTGCTTCTTATCTCCCGTAAGGAATGTGTTGATGCGATCGTACGTTGATAATAGGTTTACAGCTTGACCTACAGGGCGTAGGGAGGGTTTCTACGAGGGTGAGAACGCTGGTTTCTAAGCTCCACAGACGGGAGAGACATCTCCTGTGTCTGCAGATGTGTTTACGCCCACCCCCAATACGTGGATTTGACTCTCTGTAAACTAGTTACAGGGTCTACCAAGATGCGAGGCTGATCAGATGTGACATGGCAACCCACCCGTGCCGTCAGAACCTTTGACTGCCGATGCCTGTATTCAATCTCAGTGTTTGACATCAGAACTCCGGCTCGTCCCGTGTCTCCTTCATGAGTCGGTGACTCCCACTGCATTGCTGCACAGAAGCTTCCTCCACAATTATTATTATTATCATTATTATTAATATTATTATTATTATTATTATTATTATTATTATTATTAGCTTCAGTTCAAAACTTCTGCACAGTTTCTGAAGAATATGTCGTTTTCCTGTTTCCAAACGCCAGCTCAAAGGCCTGTGTTTGACCTGGGTCAATGTTCTGGTCAGCTGGCTCTCAGGTGTTTGTGGGTCAATGTTCTGGTCAGCTAGCTCTCAGGTGTTTGTGGGTCAATGTTCTGGTCAGCTGGCTCTCAGGTGTTTGTGGGTCAATGTTCTGGTCAGCTGGCTCTCAGGTGTTTGTGAGTCAATGTTCTGGTCAGCTGGCTCTCAGGTGTTTGTGGGTCAATGTTCTGGTCAGCTGGCTCTCAGGTGTTTGTGGGTCAATGTTCTGGTCAGCTGGCTCTCAGGTGTTTGTGGGTTCATGTTCTGGTCAGCTGGCTCTCAGGTGTTTGTGGGTCAATGTTCTGGTCAGCTGGCTCTCAGGTGTTTGTGGGTCAATGTTCTGGTCAGCTGGCTCTCAGGTGTTTGTGGGTCAATGTTCTGGTCAGCTGGCTCTCAGGTGTTTGTGGGTCAATGTTCTGGTCAGCTGGCTCTCAGGTGTTTGTGGGTCAATGTTCTGGTCAGCTGGCTCTCAGGTGTTTGTGGGTCAATGTTCTGGTCAGCTAGCTCTCAGGTGTTTGTGGGTCAATGTTCCTGGTCAGCTGGCTCTCAGGTGTTTGTGGGGTCAATGTTCTGGTCAGCTGGCTCTCAGGTGTTTGTGAGTCAATGTTCTGGTCAGCTGGCTCTCAGGTGTTTGTGGGTCAATGTTCTGGCCAGCTGGCTCTCAGGTGTTTGTGGGTCAATGTTCTGGTCAGCTAGCTCTCAGGTGTTTGTGGGTCAATGTTCTGGTCAGCTGGCTCTCAGGTGTTTGTGGGTCAATGTTCTGGTCAGCTGGCTCTCAGGTGTTTGTGGGTCAATGTTCTGGTCAGCTGGCTCTCAGGTGTTTGTGGGTCAATGTTCTGGTCAGCTGGCTCTCAGGTGTTTGTGGGTCAATGTTCTGGTCAGCTGGCTCTCAGGTGGTTTGTGGGTTCATGTTCTGGTCAGCTGGCTCTCAGGTGTTTGTGGGTCAATGTTCTGGTCAGCTGGCTCTCAGGTGTTTGTGAGTCAATGTTCTGGTCAGCTGGCTCTCAGGTGTTTGTGAGTCAATGTTCTGGTCAGCTGGCTCTCAGGTGTTTGTGGGTCAATGTTCTGGTCAGCTGGCTCTCAGGTGTTTGTGGGTTCATGTTCTGGTCAGCTGGCTCTCAGGTGTTTGTGGGTCAATGTTCTGGTCAGCTGGCTCTCAGGTGTTTGTGGGTCAATGTTCTGGTCAGCTGGCTCTCAGGTGTTTGTGGGTTCATGTTCTGGTCAGCTGGCTCTCAGGTGTTTGTGGGTCAATGTTCTGGTCAGCTGGCTCTCAGGTGTTTGTGGGTCAATGTTCTGGTCAGCTGGCTCTCAGGTGTTTGTGGGTCAATGTTCTGGTCAGCTGGCTCTCAAGTGTTTGTGGGTCAATGTTCTGGTCAGCTGGCTCTCAGGTGTTTGTGGGTCAATGTTCTGGTCAGCTGGCTCTCAGGTGTTTGTGGGTCAATGTTCTGGTCAGCTGGCTCTCAGGTGTTTGTGGGTCAATGTTCTGGTCAGCTAGCTCTCAGGTGTTTGTGGGTCAATGTTCTGGTCAGCTGGCTCTCAGGTGTTTGTGGGTCAATGTTCTGGTCAGCTGGCTCTCAGGTGTTTGTGGGTCAATGTTCTGGTCAGCTGGCTCTCAGGTGTTTGTGGGTCAATGTTCTGGTCAGCTGGCTCTCAGGTGTTTGTGGGTCAATGTTCTGGTCAGCTGGCTCTCAGGTGTTTGTGGGTCAATGTTCTGGTCAGCTGGCTCTCAGGTGTTTGTGGGTCAATGTTCTGGTCAGCTGGCTCTCAGGTGTTTGTGGGTTCATGTTCTGGTCAGCTGGCTCTCAGGTGGTTGTGGGTTCATGTTCTGGTCAGCTGGCTCTCAGGTGTTTGTGGGTCAATGTTCTGGTCAGCTGGCTCTCAAGTGTTTGTGGGTTCATGTTCTGGTCAGCTGGCTCTCAGGTGTTTGTGAGTCAATGTTCTGGTCAGCTGGCTCTCAGGTGTTTGTGGGTCAATGTTCTGGTCAGCTGGCTCTCAGGTGTTTGTGGGTTCATGTTCTGGTCAGCTGGCTCTCAGGTGTTTGTGGGTCAATGTTCTGGTCAGCTGGCTCTCAGGTGTTTGTGGGGTCAATGTTCTGGTCAGCTGGCTCTCAGGTGTTTGTGGGTTCATGTTCTGGTCAGCTGGCTCTCAGGTGTTTGTGGGTCAATGTTCTGGTCAGCTGGCTCTCAGGTGTTTGTGGGTCAATGTTCTGGTCAGCTGGCTCTCAGGTGTTTGTGGGTCAATGTTCTGGTCAGCTGGCTCTCAAGTGTTTGTGGGTCAATGTTCTGGTCAGCTGGCTCTCAGGTGTTTGTGGGTCAATGTTCTGGTCAACTGGCTCTCAGGTTTTTGTGGGTCAATGTTCTGGTCAGCTAGCTCTCAGGTGTTTGTGGGTCAATGTTCTGGTCAGCTGGCTCTCAGGTTTTTGTGGGTCAATGTTCTGGTCAGCTGGCTCTCAGGTGTTTGTGGGTCAATGTTCTGGTCAGCTAGCTCTCAGGTGTTTGTGGGTCAATGTTCTGGTCAGCTGGCTCTCAGGCGTTTGTGGGTCAATGTTCTGGTCAGCTGGCTCTCAGGTGTTTGTGGGTCAATGTTCTGGTCAGCTGGCTCTCAGGTGTTTGTGGGTCAATGTTCTGGTCAGCTGGCTCTCAGGTGTTTGTGGGTCAATGTTCTGGTCAGCTGGCTCTCAGGTGTTTGTGGGTCAATGTTCTGGTCAGCTGGCTCTCAGGTGTTTGTGGGTCAATGTTCTGGTCAGCTGGCTCTCAGGTGTTTGTGGGTTCATGTTCTGGTCAGCTGGCTCTCAGGGGTTTGTGGGTCAATGTTCTGGTCAGCTGGCTCTCAGGTGTTTGTGGGTCAATGTTCTGGTCAGCTGGCTCTCAGGTGTTTGTGGGTCAATGTTCTGGTCAGCTGGCTCTCAAGTGTTTGTGGGTTCATGTTCTGGTCAGCTGGCTCTCAGGTGTTTGTGGGTCAATGTTCTGGTCAGCTGGCTCTCAGGTGTTTGTGGGTCAATGTTCTGGTCAGCTGGCTCTCATGTGTTTGTGGGTCAATGTTCTGGTCAGCTGGCTCTCAGGTGTTTGTGGGTCAATGTTCTGGTCAGCTGGCTCTCATGTGTTTGTGGGTCAATGTTCTGGTCAGCTGGCTCTCAGGTGTTTGTGGGTCAATGTTCTGGTCAGCTGGCTCTCAGGTGTTTGTGGGTCAATGTTCTGGTCAGCTGGCTCTCAGGTGTTTGTGGGTCAATGTTCTGGTCAGCTGGCTCTCAGGTGTTTGTGGGTCAATGTTCTGGTCAGCTGGCTCTCAGGTGTTTGTGGGTCAATGTTCTGGTCAGCTGGCTCTCAGGTGTTTGTGGGTCAATGTTCTGGTCAGCTGGCTCTCAGGTGTTTGTGGGTCAATGTTCTGGTCAGCTGGCTCTCAGATAAAGGAGCCTTTGAGCAGGTAGAGCCCATCAGCTGAGTCACGGACTGAAAGGAGCTTTGTGTCTCAGATATCAGACTCCTCTCTACTGGAGCAACCACTCTGCAACCTGCTTGATGTAATCAGGAGTTTCGAGCCATGCCGGTGACTCGGTGAGAGATGCATGTCGTTCCCTTGAGGCCCATCTCTTCACCAGCAGCTGTTTACATTGGAATGTGTGGTATCTGCTAAATAAGGTAACGTGTCTCTTATAGCGCTGTACAGCAATATCATAATAACTTCAACCACCTCTGCGTCTGGATGATTCCTCTTTGCTTTATAACGTTGTGAGTGTCACATCGGATCCACGACAAAGTCCAACCAACTGTTCTGACTCACCTGCACTTTAGAAAGAGCATCCATAACATTCATCTGATTATTGATCATATTCCTGTTACTTGTATTCAGGCTCTCACTGCAATATTTCTATTCTATTCCATGTGTATTTACTTGCACTACTGTATCCGTCAGTGTGCTGCTCAGCTGGAGGAGGGGCCTGTGAACTCATTAGCATATTCTTCTTGTATCAGTCCATTTATTGAACATGTTAGAAGTAAAACAATAACAATAACAATTATAAAAAAGAGAAGCCAAATAAAACACGTTCAAGGTATAAAAGAAAAGAAAACATTCTCAAAGAGTGTCTGTCATGTTGAAGAGGGGCAAGACAAAGCTTAACACCGTCTCTGGTCAAAGATGAGGTCATCCTTGATATTCTGCACTATGAACAAAGGACCATAGAAGCTTACATTTCTGCTGGTAGTCGATACAGGAGGAGTTCATCTGCGCCCAGGTGAGGTTCCCCTCCTCCCAGCACACGGACCCGGCGCTGCAGCTCTCCACCGTCGCGTTAAAGAAGGTCTGCCCGGCAACAACAGAGAGGCGCCATTAAAGAAGCAGCACGGGGTAACCTCTAAATGATCCCTGCTTTCATGGAATAACAGCTTCTGAACTCACAGCCGTGCAGCAGCACACTGTGTGTGTGTGTGTCTGTGTGTGTGTGTGTGTGTGTGTGTGTGTGTGTGTGTGTGTGTGTGTGTGTGTGTGTGCTCACCGTGTTGATCTCCGTCTTGCACCACACTTTGATCAGACTCTTGTTTCTGGCTAAAGCATCTCCCGTGGCTATCCCCGTGATGACGGATTTATCCAGCTGGAGAAAACACAAAGAAATACTTTTTAAAAGTTCTTTAGGATCAGAATCAGATCTTCTTTATGAGTTCTGCAGCGAAAGGGACAAAGGCGAGCAATAGAGTAATCTAACATGGCTACCTGTATGAAGGCGTCACTGATTGGCTACCTGTATGAAGGCGTCACTGATTGGCTACCTGTGTGACGGAGTCACTGATTGGCTACCTGTATGAAGGCGTCACTGATTGGCTACCTGTGTGACGGAGTCACTGATTGGCTACCTGTATGAAGGCGTCACTGATTGGCTACCTGTGTGACGGAGTCACTGATTGGCTACCTGTATGAAGGCGTCACTGATTGGCTACCTGTGTGACGGAGTCACTGATTGGCTACCTGTATGAAGGCGTCACTGATTGGCTACCTGTGTGACGGAGTCACTGATTGGCTACCTGTATGACGGAGTCCCTGACTGGCTACCTGTGTGACGGAGTCACTGATTGGCTACCTGTATGATGGAGTCACTGATTGGCTCCCTGTGTGACGGAGTCACTGATTAGCTACCTGTATGATGGCGTCGGTCAGCGGGTCTGTGATGACGTTCAGCAGGTCGGGAGCGTCCACTCCTGATTGGATGTTGAAGGAGTCGATGATGATCTTGGTGAGTTTGTACAGAACGCCGGTGGCAACTTCCAGCGGCAAGAGGACCAGAACAGAGAGCCAGTTGAAGAAGTCGTGCACCGTAGCTCCAGCAAACGCCCTGGAGGAGGAGGAGGAGGAGGAGGAGAGGAGGAGGAGGAGGAGGAGGAGGAGGAGGAGGAGGAGGAGGAGGAGGAGGAGGAGGAGGAGGAGGAGGAGGAGGAGGAGGACACGCTGTGAACCCTGACTGCAGGTACCATCGTACTGCAGGTGTGTCAGTGTGTGTCGTGTGTGTCGTGTGTGTGTGTAGTGTGTGTCTCTGTGTGTAGTGTTTGTCTCTGTGTGTCTCTGTGTGTGTGTAGTGTGTGTCTCTGTGTGTAGTGTGTGTAGTGTGTACCTGCGGAACTCGTTGCGGTCTCCGGCCTGCATCATGGCCACAATGGTGTTGGTGACCGACGTCCCGATGTTGGCTCCCATGATGATGGGGACCGCAGACTGCACGTCCAGCACTGAGGACACATGGAGTCAGTCGCAGCCAAATGCTGCACCAGGGAGCCATAAGGGTTAACGGCTCCCGCTGCACTGGGTCTCTAACAGGGAGCCATAAGGGCTAAGGGCTAACGCTGCACTGGGTCTCTAACAGGGAGCCATAAGGGCTAAGGGCTAACGCTGCACTGGGTCTCTAACAGGGAGCCATAAGGGCTAAGGGCTAACGCTGCACTGGGTCTCTACCAGGGAGCCATAAGGGTTAAGGGCTAACGCTGCACTGGGTCTCTACCAGGGAGCCATAAGGGCTAAGGGCTAACGCTGCACTGGGTCTCTACCAGGGAGCCATAAGGGTTAACGGCTCACACTGCACTGGGTCTCTAACAGGGAGCCATAAGGGTTAAGGGCTAACGCTGCACTGGGTCTCTACCAGGGAGCCATAAGGGTTAACGGCTCACACTGCACTGGGTCTCTAACAGGGAGCCATAAGGGTTAACGGCTCCCGCTGCACTGGGTCTCTAACAGGGAGCCATAAGGGTTAACGGCTCACACTGCACTGGGTCTCTAACAGGGAGCCATAAGGGTTAACGGCTCCCGCTGCACTGGGTCTCTACCAGGGAGCCATAAGGGCTAAGGGCTCACACTGCACTGGGTCTCTAACAGGGAGCCATAAGGGCTAAGGGCTAACGCTGCACTGGGTTGGGTCTCTACCAGGGAGCCATAAGGGCTAAGGGCTAACGCTGCACTGGGTCTCTAACAGGGAGCCATAAGGGTTAACGGCTCACACTGCACTGGGTCTCTAACAGGGAGCCATAAGGGTTAACGGCTCCCGCTGCACTGGGTCTCTAACAGGGAGCCATAAGGGCTAAGGGCTCACACTGCACTGGGTCTCTAACAGGGAGCCATAAGGGTTAACGGCTCACACTGCACTGGGTCTCTAACAGGGAGCCATAAGGGTTAACGGCTCCCGCTGCACTGGGTCTCTAACAGGGAGCCATAAGGGCTAAGGGCTAACGCTGCACTGGGTCTCTACCAGGGAGCCATAAGGGTTAAGGGCTAACGCTGCACTGGGTCTCTACCAGGGAGCCATAAGGGCTAAGGGCTCACACTGCACTGGGTCTCTAACAGGGAGCCATAAGGGCTAAGGGCTAACGCTGCACTGGGTCTCTAACAGGGAGCCATAAGGGCTAAGGGCTCACACTGCACTGGGTCTCTAACAGGGAGCCATAAGGGCTAAGGGCTAACACTGCACTGGGTCTCTACCAGGGAGCCATAAGGGTTAAGGGCTAACGCTGCACTGGGTCTCTAACAGGGAGCCATAAGGGTTAAAGGCTCACACTGCACTGGGTCTCTAACAGGGAGCCATAAGGGCTAAGGGCTAACGCTGCACTGGGTCTCTAACAGGGAGCCATAAGGGTTAAGGGCTAACGCTGCACTGGGTCTCTAACAGGGAGCCATAAGGGTTAAGGGCTAACGCTGCACTGGGTCTCTACCAGGGAGCCATAAGGGTTAACGGCTCCCACTGCACTGGGTCTCTAACAGGGAGCCATAAGGGTTAAGGGCTAACGCTGCACTGGGTCTCTAACAGGGAGCCATAAGGGTTAAGGGCTAACGCTGCACTGGGTCTCTAACAGGGAGCCATAAGGGTTAAGGGCTAACGCTGCACTGGGTCTCTAACAGGGAGCCATAAGGGTTAAGGGCTAACGCTGCACTGGGTCTCTACCAGGGAGCCATAAGGGTTAACGGCTCCCGCTGCACTGGGTCTCTAACAGGGAGCCATAAGGGTTAAGGGCTAACGCTGCACTGGGTCTCTAACAGGGAGCCATAAGGGTTAAGGGCTAACGCTGCACTGGGTCTCTAACAGGGAGCCATAAGGGTTAAGGGCTAACACTGCACTGGGTCTCTAACAGGGGAGCCATAAGGGCTAACGGCTCACGCTGCACTGGGTCTCTACCAGGGAGCCATAAGGGCTAACGGCTCACACTGCACTGGGTCTCTACCAGGGAGCCATAAGGGCTAACTTCTCACACTGCACTGGGTCTCTACCAGGGAGCCATAAGGGCTAACGGCTCACACTGCACTGGGTCTCTACCAGGGAGCCATAAGGGCTAACGGCTCACACTGCACTGGGTCTCTAACAGGGAGCCATAAGGGCTAAGGGCTCACACTGCACTGGGTCTCTAACAGGGAGCCATAAGGGCTAAGGGCTAACGCTGCACTGGGTCTCTACCAGGGAGCCATAAGGGCTAAGGGCTAACGCTGCACTGGGTCTCTAACAGGGAGCCATAAGGGTTAACGGCTCACACTGCACTGGGTCTCTAACAGGGAGCCATAAGGGTTAACGGCTCCCGCTGCACTGGGTCTCTAACAGGGAGCCATAAGGGCTAAGGGCTCACACTGCACTGGGTCTCTAACAGGGAGCCATAAGGGCTAAGGGCTAACGCTGCACTGGGTCTCTAACAGGGAGCCATAAGGCTAAGGGCTCACACTGCACTGGGTCTCTCTAACAGGGAGCCATAAGGGCTAAGGGCTCACACTGCACTGGGTCTCTAACAGGGAGCCATAAGGGCTAAGGGCTCACACTGCACTGGGTCTCTAACAGGGAGCCATAAGGGCTAAGGGCTAACACTGCACTGGGTCTCTACCAGGGAGCCATAAGGGCTAAGGGCTCACACTGCACTGGGTCTCTAACAGGGAGCCATAAGGGCTAAGGGCTCACACTGCACTGGGTCTCTAACAGGGAGCCATAAGGGCTAAGGGCTCACACTGCACTGGGTCTCTAACAGGGAGCCATAAGGGCTAAGGGCTCACACTGCACTGGGTCTCTAACAGGGAGCCATAAGGGCTAAGGGCTAACGCTGCACTGGGTCTCTACCAGGGAGCCATAAGGGTTAAGGGCTAACGCTGCACTGGGTCTCTAACAGGGAGCCATAAGGGTTAAAGGCTCACACTGCACTGGGTCTCTAACAGGGAGCCATAAGGGCTAAGGGCTAACTGCTGCACTGGGTCTCTAACAGGGAGCCATAAGGGTTAAGGGCTAACGCTGCACTGGGTCTCTAACAGGGAGCCATAAGTGGTTAAGGGCTAACGCTGCACTGGGTCTCTACCAGGGAGCCATAAGGGTTAACGGCTCCCACTGCACTGGGTCTCTAACAGGGAGCCATAAGGGTTAAGGGCTAACGCTGCACTGGGTCTCTAACAGGGAGCCATAAGGGTTAAGGGCTAACGCTGCACTGGGGGTCTCTAACAGGGAGCCATAAGGGTTAAGGGCTAACGCTGCACTGGGTCTCTAACAGGGAGCCATAAGGGTTAAGGGCTAACGCTGCACTGGGTCTCTACCAGGGAGCCATAAGGGTTAACGGCTCCCGCTGCACTGGGTCTCTAACAGGGAGCCATAAGGGTTAAGGGCTAACGCTGCACTGGGTCTCTAACAGGGAGCCATAAGGGTTAAGGGCTAACGCTGCACTGGGTCTCTAACAGGGAGCCATAAGGGTTAAGGGCTAACACTGCACTGGGTCTCTAACAGGGGAGCCATAAGGGCTAACGGCTCACGCTGCACTGGGTCTCTACCAGGGAGCCATAAGGGCTAACTTCTCACGCTGCACTGGGTCTCTACCAGGGAGCCATAAGGGCTAACGGCTCACACTGCACTGGGTCTCTACCAGGGAGCCATAAGGGCTAACTTCTCACACTGCACTGGGTCTCTACCAGGGAGCCATAAGGGCTAACGGCGGATAACCCTGTTTTATATCTTAGGGTCTTATGCATGCAGAACACCACACACCCCTACAGTCACAGGACATCTTATTGTGTTTCATCCAGCCGAAATAAATCAAAATAAACATAGATGATTATTCTATAACGTGCATCCTTTTGGTAGGCAGAGCAGTGTGTGTGTGTGTGTGTGTGTGTGTGTGTGTGTGTGTGTGTGTGTGTGTGTGTGTGTACTCACGTCCAGAGGACACCATGCTGACTACGATGGAGGACGAGGTGCTGGAGCTCTGCACCAACACGGTGACCATCACCCCGATCACCAGCCCCGCCACGGGGTTAGACAGGATCACGTTGTCCTGGAAGATATCACCTGCTGCCTTACCTGCACACACACACACACACACACACACACACACACACACACACACACACACACACACACACAGGTGAGCCCATGGACTGCAGATGCACGCTCCTTGTTTAATAAAGGTAGATATGAGAGGGTCTGGTTTACCCCCCACCAGCTGGAAGGCGGAGCTGAGCACGTCCAGAGAGCAGATGAAGATGTAGAGGAAGCCCAGCAGCATCACAGCCTTCAGCACGCCTGTCAGCACCCGCAGGGTCTTCCCCTTAGAGTCCAGATCTGAGTGCATTCAAATAAAGAATACACATCAGAGTGAGAATATCAATTCACAAAACGGACATGAGTGGACAGACACACAGCTGTGTGAGCGAGGCTACACATATAGCAGACAGGTAAAGACAAACAGCGTCGTGATTCAGAGAGGGGCTTTAAAGGTGTGTGTTCAGAACTGTGTGTTCAGGTGTGTGTTCAGGTGTGTGTTCAGAACTGTGTGTTCAGGTGTGTGTTCAGGTGTGTGTTCAGGTGTGTGTTTCAGGTGTGTGTTCAGGTGTGTGTTCAGGTGTGTGTTCAGGGTGTGTTTCAGGTGTGTGTTCAGGTGTGTGTTTCGGGTGTGTGTTCAGGTGTATGGTCAGGTGTGTGTCCAGATGTGTGTTCAGGTGTGTGTTCAGGTGTGGTCAGGTGTGTGTTCAGGTGTGTGTGTTTCAGGTGTGTGTTCAGGTGTATGGTCAGGTGTATGGTCAGGTGTGTGTTCAGAACTGTGTGTTCAGGTGTGTGTTCAGGTGTGTGTTCAGGTGTGTGTTCAGGTGTGTGTGTTCAGGTGTGTGTTCAGGTGTGGTCAGGTGTGTGTTCAGGTGTGTGTTCAGGTGTGTGTTCAGGTGTGTGTCCAGGTGTGTGTTCAGGTGTGTGTGTTCAGGTGTGTGTGTCCAGGTGTGTGTTCAGGTGTGTGTTCAGGTGTGTGTTCAGGTGTGTGTGTTCAGGTGTGTGTGTTCAGGTGTGTGTTCAGGTGTGTGTTCAGGTGTGTGTCCAGGTGTGTGTCCAGGTGTGTGTTCAGAACTGTGTGTTCAGGTGTGTGTTCAGGTGTGTGTTCAGGTGTGGTCAGGTGTGTGTTCAGGTGTGTGTGTTCAGGTGTGTGATATCTCAGGTGTGTGTCCAGGTGTGTGTCCAGGTGTGTGCTCAGGTGTGTGTTCAGGTGTGTGTATGCCTCACCTGACCAGCTGACCCCGGTGACCTTGAGTTCCGGGAGGTCCCAGGGATCCTCCTCTCTGTCCTCAGACACCAGATCCACCGTGGAGTAAGAAGGGAGGACAGAGGATTTATCTGGAGCTTCATCATCTGAGGAAGAGGGTGAAGAGGAAGAAGAGGAAGAAGAGGAGGATGAAGAGGACGAAGAGGAGGATGAAGAGGAAGGTGTTAGAACAGGAGGGACATAGTGCAGGGTGATGAAGAGGAAGAGGAGGAGTGAACTCACCGAGGGAGGAAGAGGACTGGTTCTCCAGCTGAGGAAGAGGAGTCATGACCGTCTGAGGAGAGACTTTAAAAAATGAAAAATATAGAAATAGACATTTAAAAATGTAAAATAAAATCTTAATAATGTAACGTTTACAAATAATAAGACGGATCTGAAATCAAAGCCGGTCATAGAGGAGCAGTGACATCAGGTCAAGGTCATAACTGACCAGAAGCTGAAGCTCTCAGGTGAGCAGAACTTTGTTTACTCTAAATATCTAATGTACTTAGCATCTGATAACTTAAGGTACTTTGAAGATTCAAAAACACTTAATAAAACAACAAATGATTAATGATCTGGTTAAGATTAACTTAGTATTACTATCTAATAAGTATTAACCCTTTGATCAGCACAGCTCTACACTTTAACACAGTGTATTTGTCATGTGTAACTATTGTTAATCTGTTATAACAGTCCTACTTTCCCTCTGTCCCTGAATGCACCACACAGATAACTCATAGTGTGTGTAAACCTACTTTAAATACAACCAGTTCTGATTCTGATCAAAGCTCAAGCTACCCAGCTGTATTTTAAGTATATTACTATCTGCAAAGATCAAATCAAACCGGAGTACTTTACTGTAAATGCAACGCTTTCAGTCTGAGAGTAATCTGCACGATGAACACTAAACAGAAAGAAAACACGAAACAAAGTTCAGACTGCTTCTCAGGGAACCAGAGGAATTCAATCAACAACAAAACACGCTTCTACAAATAAAGAGCCAACATATCCCGCGCACGCACGCACACACACACACGTCGTATTTCCACGGATCAAAAACCAAGTGAAAGCTGACATTTCACTCAGAATCTGTCCGTTAGACCGTTTTCTCGCAGATTCACTCGAGGCGGCGGAGGGATACACACCTGAGAGAGGAGCTTCACCTGGAGGAGGTCTACCTGCTGCTGTCCCGCTGCTGCCTTTATACTGCTGCACACACGCACGCACACACACACACACACACACACACACACACACACACACACACACACAGGCAGGTCTCAGTGCAAAGGTTCAGAGTTCAGGTGTGTGAGGAGGTCCGAACACATCATTAGTTATTGAGGTAATAAATAAAGACGGGTTTGATGCAGTGTTGATCTGACAGCATGTGTTCTTCTACCATAACAACATGCTGATGCACTGAATTACAGTTCAAGGTCATTAATAACACGACCCTTGGCTTTATGATTTACACCCAGTGTGCGGAGCTCCTGCCGCTTCAGGTGTTTCTGTAGCGGCAGGAGAACCGAGGCTCGGGTGAAACAGAGAGGCGCCCCCTGCTGGAGGGAAACATACCTCTGAGCTGCTGGAGAGACATGGTTTATATCAGGAATAATTTATAACAGAACATCAGGAAAACATTTCCAGATCTGATCAACAGTGGGTTTTTTATTCCTGAGAAAAACAGCAACATGTATTTCTGAAAAAGTAAAAAGAAAGAAAGAAATTCACATCTTTTTGTGTGAAAAATATTTTGTATCTGAAACTGGAGATTCTGAGTCAAAGGTAATTCACTTTCTATTTCATAATATATATATATTAAAAAAATGTTTGTGGGAATTTAGATTTTTTCAGAAAATCTCAGAATTCTGACTTTTTTCTCTGAACTCATAAAATCCCACGTGGCTGCAGCTCTGGGTTAGGGTTAGGGTTAACCCTACACGTGGCTGCAGCTCTGGGTTAGGGTTAGGGTTAACCCTACACGTGGCTGCAGCTCTGGGTTAGGGTTAACCCTACACGTGGCTGCAGCTCTGGGTTAGGGATAGGGTTAACCCTACACGTGGCTGCAGCTCTGGGTTAGGGATAGGGTTAACCCTACACGTGGCTGCAGCTCTGGGTTAGGGATAGGGTTAACCCTACACGTGGCTGCAGCTCTGGGTTAGGGATAGGGTTAACCCTACACGTGGCTGCAGCTCTGGGTTAGGGATAGGGTTAACCCTACACGTGGCTGCAGCTCTGCTCCTTCATGTAATAATCCTGGCAGAAATGTTGATTTCAAATCAAATATATTACTTTTTACTTTTCAATCTCGAGTCAATCTTCATTATTAGTATTTGTGCATTTTATTAATATTCAGTTGACGTGTTTTAGAGAATTGTTAGGTTGTATTTTTGCTAATATTGTTGAATATTTACTGTGAAAATCTGGGTCGTTGATGTTTATAAACTGAAGGTCTGGTCAAAATGCTGTCTTTGACTCTTTCTTGTTCCTGTTTGTAACCAGCTGTAAAACACAATCAAACACAACGAGCGTAAACAGCTGTGTTTTCAATAAACTCTCTATCTGCCAATAACATGCGTTTACAACACACCCACACTTATTGCTCTTCATGTGAGTTTACAGCGGAGATACGAGAGGAGCCATGCAGACTCAAACCTGTAATCTGTTAAAGAGCCATAAAACAGTTCCACTAACAGCAGGTCACAGGGTTCAGAAACACTGAACAGTTCCATTAGCAGGACTCTTTAAAGTACACTACATACTGATATACACCTGAACATCAGCAGGAGAGGACTCTTTAAAGTAGAGACACTACATACTGATATACACCTGAACATCAGCAGGAGAGGACTCTTTAAAGTAGAGACACTACATACTGATATACACCTGAACATCAGCAGGAGAGGACTCTTTAAAGTAGAGACACTACATACTGATATACACCTGAACATCAGCAGGAGAGGACTCTTTAAAGTAGAGACACTACATACTGATATACACCTGAACATCAGCAGGAGAGGACTCTTTAAAGTAGAGACTCCACATACTGATATACACCTGAACATCAGCAGGAGAGGACTCTTTAAAGTAGAGACACTACATACTGATATACACCTGAACATCAGCAGGAGAGGACTCTTTAAAGTAGAGACACTACATACTGATATACACCTGAACATCAGCAGGAGAGGACTCTTTAAAGTAGAGACACTACATACTGATATACACCTGAACATCAGCAGGAGAGGACTCTTTAAAGTAGAGACACTACATACTGATATACACCTGAACATCAGCAGGAGAGGACTCTTTAAAGTAGAGACACTACATACTGATATACACCTGAACATCAGCAGGAGAGGACTCTTTAAAGTAGAGACACTACATACTGATATACACCTGAACATCAGCAGGAGAGGACTCTTTAAAGTAGAGACACTACATACTGATATACACCTGAACATCACCAGGAGAGGACTCTTTAAATTAGAGACACTACATACTGATATACACCTGAACATCAGTAGGAGAGGACTCTTTAAAGTAGAGACACTACATACTGATATACACCTGAACATCAGCAGGAGAGGACTCTTTAAAGTAGAGACACTACATACTGATATACACCTGAACATCAGTAGGAGAGGACTCTTTAAAGTAGAGACACTACATACTGATATACACCTGAACATCAGCAGGAGAGGACTCTTTAAAGTAGAGACCCAACATACTGATATACACCTGAACATCAGCAGGAGAGAACTCTTTAAAGTAGAGACACTACATACTGATACACACCTGAACATCAGCAGGAGAGGACTCTTTAAAGTAGAGACACTACATACTGATATACACCTGAACATCAGCAGGAGAGGACTCTTTAAAGTAGAGACTCTACATACTGATATACACCTGAACATCAGCAGGAGAGGACTCTTTAAAGTAGAGACTCTACATACTGATATACAACCTGAACATCAGCAGGAGAGGACTCTTTAAAGTAGAGACACTACATACTGATATACACCTGAACATCAGCAGGAGAGGACTCTTTAAAGTAGAGACACTACATACTGATATACACCTGAGCATCAGCAGGAGAGGACTCTTTAAAAGTAGAGACAAACCACATACTGATATACACCTGAACATCAGCAGGAGAGGACTTTTAAAGTAGAGACACTACATACTGATATACACCTGAACATCAGCAGGAAGAGGACTCTTTAAAGTAGAGACACTACATACTGATATACACCTGAAACATCAGCAGGAGAGGACTCTTTAAAGTAGGAGACACTACATACTGATATACACCTGAACATCAGCAGGAGAGGACTCTTTAAAGTAGAGACTCCACATACTGATATACACCTGAACATCAGCAGGAGAGGACTCTTTAAAGTAGAGACACTACATACTGATATACACCTGAACATCAGCAGGAGAGGACTCTTTAAAGTAGAGACACTACATACTGATATACACCTGAACATCAGCAGGAGAAGACTCTTTAAAGTAGAGACACTACATACTGATATACACCTGAACATCAGCAGGAGAGGACTCTTTAAAGTAGAGACACTACATACTGATATACACCTGAACATCAGCAGGAGAGGACTCTTTAAAGTAGAGACACTACATACTGATATACACCTGATCATCAGCAGGAGAGGACTCTTTAAAGTAGAGACACTACATACTGATATACACCTGAACATCAGCAGGAGAGGACTCTTTAAAGTAGAGACACTACATACTGATATACACCTGAACATCAGCAGGAGAGGACTCTTTAAAGTAGAGACACTACATACTGATATACACCTGAACATCAGCAGGAGAGGACTCTTTAAAGTAGAGACACTACATACTGATATACACCTGAACATCAGCAGGAGAGGACTCTTTAAAGTAAGACACTACATACTGATATACACCTGAACATCAGCAGGAGAGGACTCTTTAAAGTAGAGACACTACATACTGATATACACCTGAATCATCAGCAGGAGAGGACTCTTTAAAGTAGAGACACTACATACTGATATACACCTGAACATCAGCAGGAGAGGACTCTTTAAAGTAGAGACACTACATACTGATATACACCTGAACATCAGCAGGAGAGGACTCTTTAAAGTAGAGACACTACATACTGATATACACCTGAACATCAGCAGGAGAGAACTCTTAAAGTAGAGACACTACATACTGATACACACCTGAACATCAGCAGGAGAGGACTCTTTAAAGTAGAGACACTACATACTGATATACACCTGAACATCAGCAGGAGAGGACTCTTTAAAGTAGAGACTCTACATACTGATATACACCTGAACATCAGCAGGAGAGGACTCTTTAAAGTAGAGACTCTACATACTGATATACACCTGAACATCAGCAGGAGAGGACTCTTTAAAGTAGAGACACTACATACTGATATACACCTGAACATCAGCAGGAGAGGACTCTTTAAAGTAGAGACACTACATACTGATATACACCTGAACATCAGCAGGAGAGGACTCTTTAAAGTAGAGACAACCACATACTGATATACACCTGAACATCAGCAGGAGAGGACTTTTTAAAGTAGAGACACTACATACTGATATACACCTGAACATCAGCAGGAGAGGACTCTTTAAAGTAGAGACTCCACATACTGATATACACCTGAACATCAGCAGGAGAGGACTCTTTAAAGTAGAGACACTACATACTGATATACACCTGAACATCAGCAGGAGAGGACTCTTTAAAGTAGAGACACTACATACTGATATACACCTGAACATCAGCAGGAGAAGACTCTTTAAAGTAGAGACACTACATACTGATATACACCTGAACATCAGCAGGAGAGGACTCTTTAAAAGTAGAGACACTACATACTGATATACACCTGAACATCAGCAGGAGAGGACTCTTTAAAGTAGAGACACTACATACTGATATACACCTGATCATCAGCAGGAGAGGACTCTTTAAAGTAGAGACCTACATACTGATATACACCTGAACATCAGCAGGAGAAGACTCTTTAAAGTAGAGACACTACATACTGATATACACCTGAACATCAGCAGGAGAGGACTCTTTAAAGTAGAGACACTACATACTGATATACACCTGAACATCAGCAGAGAGGACT